CTCAGAAACCCACGGGGGCAGTTCTGCCCTGTCCTGTAGGGGCGCTGTGAGTCAGAATCGACGTGGTGGCAGTGAGTGTGGTTGTTGTTTGTGCGGGTGCCAGCTCCTCATGGTGAACTCCGGTGTTACTTAGAACTGGGTCCCCTCGGGTTTCTTGAGTGTCATCTTGACCAAAGCATTCGCCAGGCCTGTCTTCCGCTGCCCCACCGGTGTGGGTTTGAACTCCGTTAAGCCTCGGTTCTCACCCAGGCTTCCTGCCATCAATAGAACATTCTTGTAAAGACTGGATCATAAATGTGGAGAGCAGGGACCTGGTAGCCAGGCCCGATGGCGGGGAGTCGGGGTAGCTATGAAAGGGCAACATGAGGAATCCTTGTTCTGTGTCCAGCCAGGTCAAGGTGCACTTCCTGGTAGTGATATTGTGCTATGATTTTGCAAGATGTTACCTGTGAAGGATGAGGCCACAGCGGCTGGCTCAGTGGGCAAATGCTCCCCTTCCACCTGGGAGATCTGGGTTTGATTCCTGGCCATTGCACCTCGTCTGCAGCCACCACTGGTCTGTCTGAGCAGGCTCACAGGTTGTGGTGATGATGAACGGGCTTGAGCGGAGCTTCCAGGCTAAGACAAGGAAGAAAGGTCTGGCGATCCACTTCCCAACTTCCCAGCGTCCGTCAATGAAGACTTATGGATCAAAATGGAACCAAATCCAGTTGTTCACCCAACTCAATGATGACCTAGAGGCTGACTGACCAGCAGCTCACACAGGGGCCACACAAGATCTCTGCATGGTTTCTTACAACTGCTGTTGTGGGTGTTAGGTGCCATCAAGTCAGTTCTGACCCATAGCAACCGGGTACACAACAGAAGGAAACACTGCTCAGTCCTGTGGCATCCTCACGACGGTTCCCATGTTTGAGCCCACGGTTGCAGCCACTGTGTCCATCCATCTCGCTGAGGGTCTTCCTCCCTGTCACTGCCCCTCCACTTGACCAAGCATGATGTCCTTCTCCAGGCACTGGCCTCTCCCAATAACATGGGCCGAAGCATATGAGGTGAAGTCTTGCCATCGGTGCCTCCATGTACTGCTTCCAAGACAGATCTGTCTGTCTGCTGGCAGTCCACGCTGCTTTCCACGTTCTTCTCCAGCACCGCGATTCAAATGCATCCTTCGTCCTTATTCAACGAACAAGCCTAGTTACTTCAAAATGAGAGT